TGGCCATTAAAGTATTCAATTGGATTTTGTAATTGACAGCGAGATGCTGCTACTGCTCCAAATGTTGGAGACAGAGTACCTTATGTTATTATTAAAGCTGCCAAAGGTGCCAAGGTAACATCAAAATACTCCCCTGTCCTTTTATCTGTTGGCAAGTTTTGTAAGCATTGAGATTTTCTCGGGACTAACCACTGTGAGAAAATCAGGCTTATGAGAAATCAGAGGATCCTATCTATGTGCTAGAGAACAACATACCAATAGATCCTCAGTACTATCTTGAGAATCAAATTAGCAAGGTTGGTTTTATAAATATTTCTGATTTCTCCAGTGTCTAGTGTTCTTTACTGGATTCAATCATGTTGCAGCCAATTCTAAGAATTTTTGAGCCAATTCTAAAGAATGCCAGCAAGGAACTTCTCCATGGAAGCCACACAAGATCTATTTCTATTTCTACTCCTTCAAACAGCGGTATAATGAAATTTGCCAAGAAACAATTTACTTGCATTGGTTGCAAAGCTTTACTTAGGTATTTTATTTTTCTTCCAGTCTCCATATTATATTGACACACTAAGATTTTCCTGGTTAATTTTATTTTACACATTCCTTTTCTATTGGTTACTTCTTTTGGTTATAGTATAGAAAGACACAATAGAGAGATTTACCATTTATTCACAAAAATTATTGAGGTGCTATTAGATCTTGAATTCTCTTCATTGGTTACAAATCTGTGTTATTATGAGATCTTGAATTCTCTTCTTGATGCCAGTTCGTATGAGCATTTGTCCTGGTTGCATCTTAAGTTTTCAAATGAAAACAAGATTCTTAGGATGATACGTATCATAAAACCAATTTTTGTCTAGTAACTGAGATGAATGGTTTTTCACTTTGAACAGTTATAATTTGCACCAGTAGTACACCTGATAATACTTGGGTCTTGCTTTTTATGATTGTTTTAGCACGTTTAAAGACACCTTTGGATAATGCAAATAAGAGTGAGTCTTAGTGTTGGTTTTCTCTTCAAATTAGAGTTTAAGCAAAAGCAGGAATTCGTGTCATTTGTAGTGGATTTTCCTGGTTGCTTTTCATTCAACTTTGACATTTTTTACTTTTTATGCATCTAATAATTTTTTTACAAAATAATTAAAATCATAACTACTGAAACAAATTTACTCTCTTAAATTTAAGTTTACATCTCAGTTTCTAAGTCTAACTCAACCTATCAAAACTGATTTGTAAGGTAAATATTTCTTGGGTTTTATATGATCTATTTAGGCCTTTTGTCTAGCCAATGTGGGATTTATATATATTCAAATAACCCTCATGCCCAAGAACATTGGGCCAAATGCATGGATGATACGAGTGGCCGATGAACGGATTTAGGATAGGCTTTTGTTTAATCTTAGATTTTGGGCCTAACTTTATTCCACGAAATTGAGTTGTTAGGTAAGGATTGCATAGGTTTTGTAAGCTCTATTTATGCCTTATTATTTCTAGCCAACGAGGAACTCGGGTGTTTCCCAATATTACAAAATCAAGTTTGCAAGTGCTCACCCAAACATACATTTAAGCTTTTGGTTCATTTTTGTGTATCTTGATGCATATGGCAGTTGTACAATGGCCTATTAATAATTTCTTTATTTTTCTGTTGCATTTGAATCAGTAATGGAGATCGCACTCTATGCTCACATTGCAAAGGAAGGGAAGCTGAACTGTATTGTAAAACTGTAGCTCAAGGTAGCTTCTACTAAGCCCCCTCTGCTTAATTTCAAATGGTACTAGCTGTTTTTTATTAGACAAAATAAGTGATGTGCGTGTGTGGTGGCTACAGTGTCGGATCTTGAGATACTTTTTGGGAGGTTGTGGACACAGTGTCAGGAGTGCCAAGGTTCACTTCATCAGGATGTTCTCTGCACAAGGTATTTTCATTTGGTTTGTATTTCTGTGAAACTTATGTTAAGGGATACTTAGTGGCTTGAGTTTCTCAATTATTTTGTTCTAAGAGCCGCCATTTCTTAATATCAATTAATCATGTCCTTGAGTAAAGGCGGCTTTGTTTTCTCCTTCTCCCTTAAGTTGTTTACTGTTCATGTAATATTTGTCTAGTTGTAGTGCCATTATTTTTTTACCCACTCTTGTGAATTTTGCACAAAAGCTTTAAATTTAGTTGTGGTTACTCATTATCATCACTGATTTATGCTGAATGACTTGTAGTCGAGATTGTCCAATTTTTTATCGACGCAAGAAGGCACAAAAAGATATGGCTGAAGCAAGGTTGCAATTGGACAGATGGAACTTCTAAGGCTTTTCTAGGTTGGTTATTTGGCTCTCAACTCTTCTCTCTTTATCTTCATAACAAGCTGGTCAATACACTAAGGTCTTTGTATTTCTCAAATCTTAGAAGAAAAGGGGTTAAATTTTGCTCTATTTTTTATCCCGAACCTTCAGATCACCGTGTAATCTGATGATCGACATAGTGCTAACCAATCTAGGGTTTAGGTTTTTTTTTTCTCATGTAGAGTAAATAACAATTTTCTTGTATATTCTAGGTGACTGATTTAGAAAGACAAATATTGATGAACATTGGCCCGAATTATTATATCAGTTGGCTACTAACTACATATTTTTTAAATTATTTGAATACTATTCAAATTTATTTTCTAAAGTATAATAGGATTGAAGGTTTCAAATGCATCTATTTTCTAATCTTTTGTTTCTATACCATTAGGGAGATGTTATTTATTAATTGAGTCAATATTTATTTAATATTTTTTAGTTGTATATGTTGAGAGGACTTGAACTATATGTTAATGGGGTTTTCCCACAATAGGAAAAAAACAGAAGTTTGCTGCTGCTTTGAGCTTATGCTCTGGTCAAAAGATTTTGAACCTTTCCGTCACACCATTTGCTTAAAAGAAATAGAAACTATCCAACATCCATCGAACGACATAAGATCTGTGCATCTTTTCGACTCTAATTCTACGAAACAGTTCATTTGCTGTGCTTATCATAATTGTATCATCAATAATACTGTGGTATATCCCACATGATAGGCAGTATATATAATTATAATTATGTGCCAAGTCTGGTTATTTGGGGTTGACACTTGCGTTACAATTGGGAACTGACAGAAAATATTCGGAGGTGGAGTCCTGTGACCTGCACATGTGACTGATTTTGAATCCCCTTCATGTTGCAGATGGCTGAAGTTTTTGCACGGTAGATATTAAGAGAAGCCATCGAAGAAGAGGAGTGGTATTGTAGATTTAGGATTTTTGAACTTGGACACCAGTAAGATTGCTCTAAAGTTGAGAATTTTGTTTGCAATATTTAAAAAATTGTAGTTTGTAATCTAAATCTGTTGAATATAGTAACTATATATTTAAATATATTTAATGATAAATGCTTCTTTGTACGATTTAGTGGGAAACGAAATCAAAGAAATAGTTATATCTACTGATTTAATATCCAGCTGCATGTATTCCGCAAAAAGACCAAATGTATCGTTATTTATTTGTTTAAGATATTCTGCTACGTGTTAATTCTTGTCATTCTTGCACAAATCACTTCGTAATATTTAGCAAAACTCATTTAATGGTGAAAAACATTAGTCAACATTCACAGCCTTTGTAGGTGGGGCTCTTTAGAAGCTGCGCCTCCTATATGAATATGGTGAATATTAATGTGTAAGCATATAGTCAACTGCCTCACCTACAAAATATGGCGCAAGAGAAAGAGAAAAAGTGTTTGATTTGATTGACTTTTAAATATAAAACTAAATCATTTGGTTTGGTTGATTTGGATAAAATCTTGTTGAGTTATATATATATATTTGTTGAGTCATATATATATATATATATATATATATATATATATATATATATATATATATATATATATATATATATATATATATATATATAACACAATATAATTGTGTTTAATTATTCATACATTATTAAATAATAATAAAATTTAACATATTTGGACAACAACTTGATATTTAATATATAAAAGTTATATTAGTCAAAAATAAAAATAAAATATAAAACTATATCAAAAATAAATATTATAATGAAAAAAGAGGGGATGAGAGACTTAAGAAGAAAAAGAAAGAACAAAAGAGGAGAGATTAAAGAAGAGAAAAAGGAAAGATTAAAAAAGATAAAAAATGAGAAAATAAAAATGTTGAATATAACAAGTATGAGTAACATAAATAATAGTTTTATATTGGTTAAAAACTTGGAGACTAGCCTTTATAAGGGAAGAATCCATAGACCTATTATCTTTAATGTTTTGGGTGAATATGCGGTGTATGTCTCACAAATGTATTGTTCAAAAAAGAAGTCTCACAAAGATATTGTTCAAAAAGAAGATTTAAAAGGAAGAATATAAAATATAAGAGATTAGAGAAGATGTGTAGAAAAGATTTTACCATGTTGAAATTGAAATTTTAGATGTGAGAAAACACCATAGTTTTGTTAAAAATGACCCAAATTCATCCGAATCAAACAGTGTAATATTTTTATAGTTTTTGATTAATTCAATTCAATTTACATTTTTCTAGTGAGCCGGTTCGATTTTAATCACCATATCCTTTTTATAGTACAAAATATTGTCAACAACATATCGAAGTTAGAATAAATTACTATTCTTACTATCCCCAATTGACAACAAATATAAGTTAATTAAAACCTGAAATGCATAAAAGATATTACCAAGTACATGGTTGATGACTCTCAAAGATAAATTTCAGAATTTCTAAATGTACAGCAACGTTAGAGAAACTCTTTGGGTTAGTTTGATTCTATACACGAAAAATATTGAAGATAATTTTTTGGGTACAAAAATAATCTACAAGCAGTACATTTACACTCAACATTTCTATACATGTCATTGTTAGGGTGAATTGTAAAGAAATAATGGTACTATACTATATACTACTAATTATCCAGCAACTTCGGTAATATAATGTTATAGAATAAATTAGCAAGAAATTTGACTTAAGTGTATAATCTCAAGCGAGTTGTAATTTGTTGCCTGCACATAGGGCATGAAGATAATGTAGCTCCGCACTCCTTGCAAGTCTACATAAAATAGAATGCGGTTTTCAGCAGTTTTGTTAAATAGATTTTCCAAAGAAGTTGTGCTTAATATAATGCAATTATTTTGCTATTGTATGTAATTCCACACATAACAAAAGGTGTACTATTGAAACTAGCATATAAACAGACTTACAGTATGACCGCATCCAAAAGCCATGTCCTTCGGATTGGTGAGGCAAATAGGGCATACCTTCAATAAGAGAAAGATGTTAATCTCAAAGCTTTATTATTATGACAGTATAAAGATAGTGGCAAGGAAGCATACTGGTTCTGCACTGGCTGTGGCTGGAGCTGCTGGTTCAACCGAATCAAAATTTGTCAGGCGTGGAGTCTCTATGAATGCATTGTCGTGATCTATTACTTCCTTCGGTGGAGGGAGAGGTCTTTTATGTTGACGACGAACATGTTCGCTACAGCATGAAAAGGATCTGACACTCAGTTATAATGCTTGAATGTAGTAAAATAGAATCACTTTGAAATTGAAAGCTTACTTGGAAAGCTGTATATTTTGAGCGGCCCGGTACTGAAACGGAATCTCCATAAGGGCAGCAAGTGCAAATGCTGTTTCCTTCTTGGATGCTTCTGTGTTCTCGGACATGATCTTTGTGAAGTTTACAAACTAAAGGAGGAATAAAATGGAAAACAGTTGATAAGTAATCAATTTCATCAGAAGGAAAACAGCTTCACAAAACAGTTCAAATTAGCTAATGAAATGTAGCATTTGTCATTTATTCGAGAAATCCCGACCAATGCTCAAATGCTATTAACTACCTGAAAGTTGTCAAATAAGCGTCCATTAATGTTATCATCGAAGTGCTTCATCTCGTCCCATGGTCCATCTCCAACTCCAACCAAAATAATGGAGAGAGGAAAATGACTGAAAATCAGAATAGCTCAATATAAAAGACTAATACCACAAACAACAACAGCAAAAAGACCACAAAAATGTTACTTTACCTTGCAGCAATTATGGAACTAATCGTTGCCTGTTCTTGCGGACTAAGCTTTCCATGCGGCGTACCAGAACTTCTAGAAACCTAAGAAAAAAGAAAGAAGTTTCATAAAAAGGAGAGAAATGTAGAAAAAGAAATAAAGAAAACATGTCAGGAAAATGATGAAGAAAAAAACAGTAGTTATAACCTGGCCATCAGCAATAATGACAAGAACATGATATTGACCGTTGCTACTTTCCACAATGTCAATCGCCGCGTCAATGACGGGGGCAAATGATGTTGGCCCTATAACAAAAATGGAGGGCATTGCGATATTGCGGTAGCTCCAAATTGCTGAATATGGATAGAAATGAAGATTAACAAATAAGTTGCAAACAAACCTGATAGTTTCAAGAGCGGAGCAATCTGTCTATAGCGCGCAAGTACTTCCTCAAAACCATGACAGACTCTATTCCCCGGATAAAAACTGAACACATTCTTCTCGTGTGTAGAAGCTATAAAAGAAACGCACAAAAATCAACAAAACAGAAAACACAACATTCTTACAAACTCAGAAATAGTTTACTCACCATCACCAAACCCGAAACACGGGATCAAATTATCTTCATCAAAAGTAGACAGTGTCCGCCCAATTATAGATATTGCTTGCTCATACGGATTAGGACTGCTTCCGATATGATGAAGACTCTTCCGATGAAACGCGTACTTACCTATAATTACCACAAAGTGAATTTTCTACATTCATATTTATATATACATGTACAATAATTTCATGTTTAAAAAAGGAATAACCTGTCCACTCATTGCTTTTCGTGAAATCGATACCAAGTATTAAATTCGACGATTCCAAACCAGCTTCTCTCAGAGCAGAAACAACCTGAAAACGCATAAACCTTCTATAATAAGCATGGAATTTCTATGATTAATAACATCTAACTACTGATTATCCTTTCTAAATTATCAGTTAAGACCTGTTCCAATGAGCTGAAATTATCAGCTATATATGTTGGCTGCTGGTTCCGACGCTGTTGAGTAATCGCCGAACTAGTAGCAGCATAAGAGGGTTGATCATTATCTAAACTTCCATCATAAGAAGGTTGATGATAGCTATTACTCACAGAACTCCCATCATAACTAGCAGGAGGGTGTTGATAGTAAAATTCAGGTTGAGATTCAGACATTGATTCTGTATTTCCCATGTTACAAATACAAACCTGCTTTCAAAAACATCAATTCAAACCGAATTAAGCTAAAAAAAACTACAGCAACAGTTACAATTAAAAGTCAAAGCTATAATACAATTGATGATAAACAAGTTTACCTTGTTGATTGTTTTTGAGATTGGTAGAAGTGATTGAAAACAGAAAAGTAATTAGTAATAGGTTCTTGCTTCTTTGGAATTGAATACTGTATTATAATGTTTTTGTATTTATTTGTCTATGCTTTGTTGTTAAACGTGGAGGCTTTTTTATCTTGATGCGTGCACTCCACTCGTTGAAAACTCGTTGCTTCTATTTTTCAAATCTTTCTTACCTTCTAAGGTGTTTCCATTTTAGTATTTTATTATTGTTACTTGCACCTCACTTTTTCTAACTCGGATCCTGTTGGATTGAGAACGTTAGTATTAATTAATCATTGTTTATGGAGTGCAAGAAATCTTTTATTCTATTCTACTACTCCATGCATTATTTGTTTGTTAGGAATCAGGATATTATGATATATTTTCTTATATTTAAATCTTCATGTTTTACCTTTTGCTTTTTTAGGAAGACGTTGGTAATGGTATCATCGTGCTTCCATTTAAATGTTTGTTACAACAACAAACGACAGGTATAATGAATCCTGATAATGCATTGTTCCTACGCGGGTCTTTGTCGAAAAAGTCTACCATAATCGTATTGTTAAAATTAGGGAATTTTATAGTGTTGAAAAACATCATACGAAAAACTTAAAATGTCTATCAAATTTTAGAGATATATCTCCGGCCGTATCATGCTTCAACGTTATAACACACTAAATGAATGTCATCTTATATTAATATTAAAAAAAAATCGCATAGATGCATCTCCGGATGTTTTCAACAAATATATTGTCAGTTGAGCTGCCTAGTGGATATTTCGGAAATGCATTTTTGGAGGATTGAGACGGGATTTTGAAATATCTGTGACCTTTTGCATGTCTGAATTTTTCAGAGATGCATCTCCGAAATAAGCACACAACCATATTTGTTTTTCACTTCAAACCCTTACAAAAAATTCTTCAATTCTCGACCCACATTTTCACTCCAAATCTCTAATCTTGTGATTCATCACATTAAATGGAACAAAATAAGTTGGAATTTCAGGTAAAGTTAATTTATTTCAAGACTCATTGCTCACATTAATCTTGTTTTCAGTCTGAAAAACATGCGTTTATTCCGGAGATATATTTTCGGAACAAGTATGAACTCATCCGAAAATGCATTTTCGGTATCTTCCCGTTATCATTCTTTCAGTTATGTTTACAACATTAACACTTATTAAGTGTTTTATTGTAATTGTTTTCATTAGATATGGTGCACCCCAATGTTTTCTCCAAAAATATTGTGTCTCCGAATGCCAAAGATGTTGTTGTGAAGGCGATAAATGTTGGCAACCAATTGAAAAATGAGCAAAGGTTTGAATTTCGTGATCACATGCTTCAATGGATTCGCACGAAGGCCCCCAAACAAGGATTTGATGTGCTAGATAAGACTATTAAAGAGAATTACGTAAAGTGATGATAGTCACAACTATTAGTCAAAACAGTCCTTTGTGTGAAAGAGAAACTATGAATAAGAAGTGAAGAAAAAAATATGTTGAAGATGGTTCGACAGAGATGGTACTTCGACCTGTGATTTAAATTCAAATAAAGGAGAGAATTTTCGTTCTTATCCAGATTTATGAAGAAGGACACGTGAAGTTTTTCTACGAAAAAGAGACATGTCGAGCGCCATTTGTCATTTGTTTGTAGTGTAACCGTTAGGGTCGGTTATTTTCTATCATTATAAACATAAGGTTTTAATGTTAGGATAGAGTGTGTTCAAAAGTTTGTACAAAATTTTTGAAGTTACTCAAAGCATCCGCGTGTAGAGAAAAAGAGTATGTCGAAGGAAATCTACGTTTGATTACACCATATTTTTATGTTTTTAATGCCAATTTTATCTTTTTAACTCAAAGTCTATCTCTTTAGTATTCAAGTTATTTTATCGTCTTTTGATCAAGTTTCTGCACTTTACTTTTTCTAAAATTCGAAGTTTTTAGTTGTTAGATCATGGAGAATATTGGAATCTTTATTATTCCCTAAACTTTTAATTAAGAATTACTAGCACATGTCTTAGAATTTGTGTGGTCGATTTTGTATGTAACCTAATATCTTTTAATTGGAAAGACCAGCGATTGTTTACAATTTTTCCAGTAAACAAATTGGCACGCCTAGTGGGACAGTGCTAGTAGTGTTCTTGTCGCAATTTTATTTGTTATCGTTTATCTTTGAAAATTTTGTTACATGTTATTGAGAAGTGGAAAAGTATCCGCCAGTAACAAAGATAGACCATGGATAAGGTATACTAAGAAAATGGAAAATTCCAACCAGCCAAATGTTTCAATGCCTTAAAGTTCGTCAAGTAATAATCGAGAACAACCCTGAGTGTCTTCGATTGGAGCGACAATGGTCCCATCAACCGTATTAGAACCAATGCCATCTATGGCAAGTTCGATGCATACGCAATCTATTACCTATAGTGAGCCCATTCTAAATTATATTGGGCCAAAGGGCCCTCCAGTAACTCCTCCACCAATGGGGATTGCTTCGAGTAGGCCTTTCATGCCCCCCAGGTTTCTCTATACCTTTTGGAAATCGAGATCAACCATATGGAATGCCAACATCCATGATGGCGAATTTGCACAATATCGTCTCAACATTCTCAGAACTTGTAGTGAATGTTACTTTGCCATTACAAGGGTCAGGCTCAGGGATAAACATGGATCGAAACAAACCTATAGGAGTGGGTTATTATACCCAAATGCCAAACTTGACCAATAACTCTAAAGCAGTCATTAGGCAGCAAATGGATGAGAGTAATCATGAAATTGTCCAAATGTTGGCCCAAACAATGGGAGCGATTCTTAATCCCCTAATACAAAGTACCACTCTATCCAACCAACAAGTAACGGCACAAATGACGCGCCTTGAAGATTTTTTTGGAGTACCATAACCTCCTCGACAATCACAGAGAATACATATTGGCAAATTAAGGAGTAGCCCTCGAAGAGGATCCCATTATCAATCAGGTTCAACAAAACCAAGGAGATCAGCCCCATGAAAATCTAGCCGATGCAAGAGTGGCATTTGAACAACCTAGAGTTGAAATTCCTAGAGCCCAACCTCAAATCCCCATCAAGGAAAGACCTAGGGTAGTAATGGTGAATAGGGACCAAAATGCTGATAATGTTGTACAATAGATTCGACGTGACAAAATGGCCGTGAATAATAATCTAGCAGCCATGGTCGAAGGATAATGACACGAAACAAAGTAAATTTTGGTCTTCAGAGACCAAAATATACTTCGCCATTATCAAAATATATTTTACAATCAGACTTGCCACCTAGATGGAAAGTCTCTAAGTTCACTAAGTTTTCAGAAGATACCACTAAATCCACTATTGAACATGTGGCTAGGTATTTAATAGAGGCTTGAGAGATTTTGAACAATGAAAATCTTAGGATAATGTATTTTCCAAGTTCTCTCACCAAAAATGCTTTTATATGGTTCACAACCTTGCCACCAAATTTGATCCATAATTAGAATCAACTAGAAAGGTTGTTTTACGAACAATTTTATATGGGCCAAACCAAGATTAGTTTGAAGGAGTTGGCCAGTATTAAACGAAAGTTCACTGAGCCAATAGATGATTATTTGAACATATTTTGTTTACTTAAGACCAGGCGCTTTACACAAGTGCCAGAGCACAAACTGGTCGAAGTAGCCGCTGGAGGTCTAGATTATTCTATTAGGAAGAAAATAGATACCCAGTACCTAAGACATATGGCCTAATAGGCTGACAGGGTTCGACAATTAGAATGTTTGAAAGAGGAAAAGGATAAGGCAAATAAAACAAGAGGTTAGCCTACGTCGAATCTAATGAAGATGATGATGGCCATTATAATGAGCATCCAGACTTCAACGAAAGTGAGGTTAATCTCGCTAAATTAAAACAAGGCCCCCTTATTCGTGTAAGGTCTTAGCTCCCTCAAACGGCAAGAATCCATTCGAACTCGATAAAAATGATAGGTTCCCTAAGAGAACTTACACCTTTGACGTCACTAAATGTGACGAAATTTTTGACTTATTAGTGAAGAATGGTCAAATAATAGTGCCTCTCGGTGCTAAATTACCTCCTTTAGAGCAAAGGAAGACAAGAGGGTTTTGTAAGTATCATAATTTTTTGGGTCATATAACTTCTCAAAATTTTCTTTTTAGGGATCTTGTTCAAAACGCCATTAAGGATAAAAGATTGAGTTTCAGTGAGAAAACAAAGGCTCAGATGAAGATCGACGCTGACCCTTTACAGATAGCTGACACCTATTTCACTGAGCCTACTGTTAATATGATCGAGGTCACTGATGATTTCGCTCATAATGTTAACATGGTTGAGGTCACCAGTGACTTCGTCAATAATATAGTCATGATTAAGATCACTGAGGATCTTGATGAGGAAATTAAGAAAGATGGTCTATGTGGGGTTACTGATGGCCTCACCAAAGGAGCCGTCAAAGTCATTAATAACGAAACTGGTGATAGTTTCGTCTCAACTGAAATCACTAAAGGTTCCAATTTAGTATTAGTGACCAAAGAAACCGCCAATGGTTTCATACGGGTGGGCAAGGTGGCTGATGGCCTTACAATAGAGTTTCAAAATCTGGAAATTTCCAAGGATGTTGCTATGGATATCAACATGGTCGACGTGTCACAACAAACTTCGATGGAGACTGAAGAGGAACGTCGATAGGAGGAGTATAACAAGGTAGCCTTCCCAAAGGAAAAATATGGGTTGATCAATTTTTTGAACAGATGTCAGAAGAAAAATTCGCAGATCATGCTCTGTCCGAGGTGTAGCGCCGTGTTTGACAAAAAAGCGGCCCAAAACATTGAAGGAGTTCGTTTGGAAAAAGCTAGAAA